ATGTGACATATTTTCTCCCTAGGAAGTTTATACCAACTTTACATTTTCCGCATAGCTCTGCGCTTTCTTTTCGGAACACCCTTCTTTGAAGCGAGTATAACCTGCATCATACAGATTACTAGATCTCACTGGTAGCGAGTTAAGAATCACTGCAGGAGCAGTACCTATCAATAGTTTCTTGGGGTTTTACCTCGATTTCTCGTTCCATAACCGTTAACCATTTTCAAAGCTGTTTCCATAAATTTCAGTTTGATATTTGCTGTCACCATGAGTTGTCAACACGAGTTGTCAACAAGATGCATGTCGTCAAGATACGAATTCCACAAACTATACTAATACTAATTATGACCATACACTTGACCAAATTTTCATTCTATCTTGATTTGTATGTTTTCGCCAGCGTAAAAAATAGTATATATTTTACCGTGAAAGTCCGAAAGCCGGTGATTGTCAGGATATACCAGTGAATGTCAACATTCACCACGTTACTTGGAGTATGTCCGATATATTCATCAAATATTATTTTCAACTTCCACCGGCGAATGTCAACATTCATCATATACTCATGGTGTATGTTCGAAAGAATTTTTCATCAAAAGAAAACAAAATAAAACTCTATAGGTTATTATTTATTTTGATTGAATCATGGAAGGAGTTATCAAATGAACATATAGAAGTTGTTGAACTTAAGACAAACACAACAGACATAATATTAATATAAAAATGAAATACGTTTTATTTCTTAAACTTAAATGTAAAAAACAAAGTAAATGTATGGCAACCCTATTTATTGTAACCACTTAAGCTACCATGACACTTTGAATTACACAAGAGGCTCTTGTTTTTACAGCTACATTTAGACGTGGAACACTTCTTTTTGCAGTTACAGCGTGTATAGCCTTGCCCTCTGCTATTTGAATTAGCAGAAGCTTCTTCTCTTACCGAAATTTCTTGAGCTGAAATCTCATCCATGGAAATTAACTTTTCTTTGCGAATTGCAAATTGATTACGGGTGCAAAGCTGCTTCAAGATGCCATTTTTGTTTGCTATTTAGTGCAGTAGCCATCGAGTACAAATCATAATACCACTATCAATCAAACCTTGTATAAGACTGGCGACAAGCTTACACGAAAGCGAAGGGAAGCAAAGAACCACACAAAAAACTGTTAGGACCCGTCGTTTCCGACATCGACCAAAGCTTATATGTGTTTGTCGACATATACCGGTGAAGGACCGAATTTATATTAAAAATAATAATAATTGTTCGGTCTTTTACCAATACATTTGGTGTGTGTCGACATTAACCGGTATATGTCAAAAATCACTAATTTCGGTCTTTCATATACACCTCAGGACAGAATGCTATTTGTCCCTCGGTGCTTTGTATCTCTCGTGCTTCGCCCTCGAGCTACAATTCGCACCTTGGAAATAATCTTGCATTTCTGTCCCTTGATGTATAATGTACTATTACACCCACCCCCTGAGTTTTATTATTCATATTGAATAATCATTGTTTTTAGGAGCCCCTTCCCAGGCGGACTAAGCAACAAACGTTATATACACATCATAGGAATTTTAATACGATTTTCTTGCTTTTGGAATATAAATGAGATATCCTGATTATTCTACATTTTTCTGAGGTATTTTGGTGACTATTCCACTCTTGATCTCGAGAACCAATCAGAATCGACCTTGAAAATGGTTTCTTCTGTATTCTAGCGATATTTTTTGTTTATCAAATTTTATCGGACTTGCTCTACCAATACAGAAGCGGAATTGACCCACACGTGACCAACTAACCTCGTTTATCAGCGATAAAATTTTGACATCGTGTCTGGTCAAGATTGCTTTGGATTCAAATCTGAGACAATAACCCAAGTTCCTACTTTATTTATTTTATTCGCGTTAGTGAGATATTTTGTACGAAAGGCGAGACAATTTTATTCTGGCTGGACGTTTCATGTGTAATTTAAAAAGTTTGCATATTTGTTAACTGTCTGACACAACAATAATAGAATTCAAATTCCTTTTTGAAGTAATCTTCAATTACTCAAGTTATCGTGACTGACTAATTTAATTACTAGCTGATGTAGCGCAACTGTTATAGGGTTGTAGCGCAAGGATACGATGGTTCGAGCCGTTACCACCGATTTCGAGCCCTCGGCGACGATATCTTTTTTTTTTAATTATTCCATGTCACATAAATTCAATCTATTTTGTTTGAATTGGATAGTAATAATTGTATACACTCTTTTGAGAGCAACCATCTCCAAGATAATAAAAAAAATACTGTTTATCAAAATTGTACATTCCACTTTGTGAATAACTATAAGTAGGTAGTTAATTTCTAAAAATGTAAATTCTGTATTTCATTACTATCATTATGTTCTTCTTCGCAGTTCGAGTTGGAATATACTTAAATTATGTTTCCTATTTCTTACTATATATTATTATATTGTCTCATTCAATCATGAAATAGTCATACGAATACAACTCGTGATACTATTTTTCCTGGAAATAATCGTCGATTGACTTACTCCAGCTTGCTGCTCTAATTTCGCTCATGACATTGATAGCGCCTACGGCTCGTAGTTTTGATAACAATGTCATTCACGAAATTACTAGGCAACAAGCTGTCGTAACAATCACCGAATATTTCCGGCAAGATATTATCACTTGTGCGGTATTATATATGATATAATTGTGAATAAAGAAATGCGATACGTGAGGAATAGATATTTTTTATTTTCACTCATTCATAGTTTTGAGCGGTTGATAAAAATTACCATATTTCAATAATAAATTCGAAATTTTTCCTAATGCGGAAAGTAAAAATATATATGGAGAAAATGAATGATTATTATTGCTTTTCAGATAGAAGATCTAGAATTCATTATAAATTCGAAAATGTAGCATCGGAATAGTTATTTACGTGACAAGTGAGATATATACATTCTTAACGCACGCATGTGAGGATTGCATCGTGTAATCACATGAGTGCGTTAATAATGTAGTATCCCACGCGTTGCGTACAAAATTTTATCTACAACTGTCAACGTTGTTAACTATCTTTGAATGTACCTCATTGATATTGAGGTCTTCTGAGGTCTTCTTCTCTCCTCTTCCATCTCTCTCTGTAATGCTACCAACGTGGCCGCATTGAAATATAAAGAGGTCCGATAAATCTTTCCTTGTCTAACATCTACTTTGTGCCACTGAACTATTTTTCAATTCAGCAGAGTGTCAAATTTAACGATATTTACCATATATTAACAAATTATGTCAAAATAAGTACCTATGTTATAAATCAAAATTTCATTTCCAAAATTCTAAATGTCATCAGTCAATGACATTCATGACATAGACATATCACGTCATTATAATATCGAAAATAGTTCAGTGGCGCAGACTAGAGGTTAGACAAGGAAAGATTTATCGGACCTCTCTATATTTCAATGCGGCCACGTTGGTAGCATTGCAGAAAGAGATGGAAGAGGAGAGAACTTTCCTCTCTCTCGTTCAAGGTAGAAAAGAGCTCAATTCCACTTCGACGTACCTTTCTGATAATGGAAAACACAAGTTGCCTGTGATCATTTTTGTAACCGTAGCAATGGTACGTATTAACAAAGCCGTTTATAGATGTTGTATTAAATTGTCAGATCGATATCCAGATCCATCATTAAGTTTTGATATTGAAAATGCGGCGACAAGTGTTGTTAGAATTTTCTTTGTATTCATTCAATAAACGATTTATTTTGGTTGAAATTGATTCCTTATCTCATTACCGCATAATCATCACTTGACAGTTGTAGATAAAAATTGTTTCTACTCCCAGGCAACCAGATGACGTTCCAGTGACGTTTTTTTTACGTCACCAAGGTAACGTCAGTAGTTGACGTCGCATTGACGTGATAATGACGTGAATAAGTCACAGCCCAATGACGTCATAATACTCACGTCGTATTGACGTCATCCACTCACCAAACTGTGTCGTCCGACTGACGTCATAATGACGTCAAAATGACGATTGAATTTGGCGATGATACGTAAAAAAGATTCCATCAACATGGTGTGATAAACACCACTAGCCTCTGATGACATTATATAATATTGATTATGCATTGTTGAGTCTGCTTGGTGGGTCCCTCCTGTGTCATGATTCATTCAATCGCCTATTCAGCAGCGCCATCCTTCAGTACGCATCTCCATCAGAATCCAATCACTCGTATTTGTATCACAAATTATGTAGTTTGTGTCGGCGAGATGTAAGCAAACAAAGAATAGTTTGATAGCAATGGAAAGGATGTTGGCGAATTTGGCTTCACTTTGTTGAATAATGTATATTGATGCATTCTTTATCACCCAAACAAAATCTAAATAGCAAATTATTGAGAAATTTCCTAAATGACGAAGCTCACCTAATTGGTACGTCACACCGACGTGATTTTTAGACGTCATAGATACGTCACTGCAACGACATAAGAGTAACGGTTTCAATATAGGTATACATAAACAATCATTTTCATAAATATCATATATACATAGCTTGTTGGTTTCCGAGATATATAGTATGTGTCAAAGTTTTTTAGAAAACAGTTTTTCTACTACTTTTCGGGTATATTAATAATAAGAATAAAACATGCATGTTGATTTGCTTTCATGAGTTATACTTTTGTTTCACATGATAATATATAATTATCCATGGTTTAGAGAAGGTCTGGGAAAAATGGACGTCGACAGGACGTCCCTGATGCAACGTCATGAAACTGACGTCTTCTTTTACCCATCTAAGTGACGTTCACTCGACGTCGAAACGATAACGAGATTATCACGTCATAGAAAGTACGTCATAAAGACGTCATAAATTGGTGTGTGACGTCTCTGACGAAAAATCACCAATTAGGAACGTCACAGTGACGTGATCATTCGTCATCTGGTTGCCTGAGCTGTGTTGCGTGTACGCAACATTTGGTCATGAATGGGTTAATATAAAAAATGTGTCAAATCAACTTATTTATAGCCATGCTCAGGGCTGTACAGGGTGGGCAAAATTGGACGTTTTCACCGTCTATCTCAATAACTAGATGAGTTATCGAAAAACCGATATACATGTTCCGGGTTCGATTTTGGAGAAACCTCGAATGGTACAATCAAAATTTCGATATTTTCATTCGTTTTAGAGATACAGGGGGAAATTGAAAATTTGCCGATTTCGATTTTATTTTCTGACTACTTTACGGTGAGAGGTATCAAAAAATTCCAAACGTATATTTATACAGTATGATGCGTGGAATCCATTGGCATCATCAGAAATTTTATACAGGGTGACGTTGAGAAAATACGGCAGCCAATTATGTTTTTTCTAATGGAACACCCCGTATATTTTGGCACAGTTGAATAGTCCCAGGCGTTCTCATTACAAATATATATATAACCCTACCTTTTCCTTCCACAATTTCAGATATATTCGCAAAAATATATTCAGTGTGTCACATTTCTTATGGTTACACCCCCGTATCTTCTGTAAGAATAATTGATGGAAACATTAACAATCATATTTTGTGGCAGAATGCCTGAATATGATACTTTACCCATTATTTCTAGTATGCCTTAATATTTTTGCGTTCAAAGAGATAATAAATAAGATATATTTATTTGAAATTGAAACGGGAACTTTCCAGCTCTGCCAAAATATACGGGATGTTCCATAAAAAAATTGTTCTGTATCTGGAATTTGGACATCTTCTATAAGGCTATATTTCTCAACGCAACCTACTGATTTCCTAATTGAGTAAATTATTGGTCTTATTTCTGTATCTCAAATGTCTTGATAACAATGATATCAAATCGAATAATTTCCCATTTTATTTCTCACCAAATATCCATTTATCTGGAAATTACATTCCCTATGATATTTATTTTCCTCATTTGGTGAATATATACAGAGTGTCATTTTCAACCTCGATTCTGCCTGTTGATAGCATTATCCAGAATTATCGATGATTCCATAGGTGCTGGCGAGCAGTGTTATCATTGGAGATGATCCCACTTGGTCCATGACTCCATGAGTGTATCATTTGTATCTTTCTGACAGTTGCGATTTTTTGAATCCTACCTCAATTATTTTTACAGATGACACGGGGGTGTAATCATAAGACATGTGACACACTGAATATATTTTTGCGAATATATCTGAAATTGTGGTAGGAAAAGATGGGGTTATATATATATTTGTAACGAGAACGCCTGGGACTATTCAACTGTGCCAAAATATACGGGGTGTTCCATTAGAAAAAACATAATTGGCTGCCGTATCTTTTCAACGTCACCCTGTATAAAATTTCTGATGATGCCAATGGATTCCACGCATCATACTGTATAAATATACGTTCGAAATTTTTCGATACCTCTTACCGTAAAGTAGTCAGAAAATAAAATCGAAATCTGCAAATTTTCAATTTCCCCCTGTATCTCTAAAACGAATGAAGATATCGAAATTTTGATTGTGCCATTCGAGGTTTCTCCAAAATCGAACCCGGAACATGTATATCGGTTTTTCGATAACTCCTCTAGTTATTGAGATAGACGGTGAAAACGCCCAATTTTGCCCACCCTGTACATGAAGATACTACGACAACAGAAAAACAAGGGACCAGAACTATAGCAGCTTCGATTTCATCTCTTGGAACAACTCTGAAAATAATTGAAATTTATCTCAGACTTTTTTGGAAAAACCATGATTGGAAGTGTATTTTTTGCGGTGAAGAGATTCTATACAGGGTGAACCATAACTGATGAAACATAGACTAAGGACCAAATATGCATACCTAAATAAAATATTGTTGTGGAAAAAGATACAGGGCGTTGAAGATGAATTTTTTCTTTTCGTTTTTCGCTAATAATCTCAGTGTATATTTGAGGAGTATAATTTCAACCAGGGTATATCATTTTATGTATTATTCTACATTTTGTTACAGGAGGCGCCACGGGTGAATGATTCCTGATAATGAAATCTATTGGTAACCTTTTAGTGATTTCCATTCTAAAATATGACATAGAATTATTTCTACGTGATATTGGTACTGTTGTTTCAACATCCGTTTTCGAGAAAAACGCAATTGAACAGAACAGAGTCTCGGAAGGTTATTGCAAGTAACGGACAATAATGAAACTTTTAACGTAAGGCTTCTATTTCGACGATAAAGCACAATTAAAAACAATGTACAATTTAATAAAGGACTTTCGGAAAGAAAATATTATTCTGTTTCCTCATAAAGTTAGCAGCAATTTGAATTTCACTTTAATTGATTCCATTAGTATAAACTAAGGACTTCATATGTCCCCAAACAAAAAAATTTAGCTGGTTATAGCCAGGACTTAATGGTGGCCATTCAACATCACTTTCTTTGCCAATCCATCGTTGAGAAAATATGTCACTCAGATGATTTCTAACTGATGGAAAATGAGGTAGAGCTCCATCCTGATCCAGCATAAACCACATTTTCCTTCTTACAGCTAATGATAGATTATCGAAAATATGACCAAGAGTATTTTGAAAAAAAAAATGGATTTGAATTTGGAGGCAGAACATTATGGCCCTAGTAGTTTGTCGTCTATAATGGCACTCCAGATATTCAATCAGAACTTGTGCTGAAAATGTATTTTTCTGCAACCGACACAAAAGTCGTCCATTTTAATACCAAAATTAGCTCTTGAATTGACGTTTCTATTACTGACACAAACATGGGTATGTTGCTAGGCAACACTTTTAGTTCCTAGGAGCTAAAGTTGAACTTTAGCTCCTAGGAACTAAAAAAGATGTTGATATCAATTGATAAACATACAGTGAGATTATTAGCAGAAAAGAAGAATAATATTTTATCAAGGCATATTTGCCCATAGCCTATGACCCAATAGTTATGACTGATCAGTATATGTATATCAAATATGTATTGAATGAAATTATACTTTGTAAAAGTGAAATTGGACTGTTTGCATTATTCATGGTGACATAAAAATAAATAGATATATACCTAATTTAAACCATGAGAAGACTGTATTTTTTTTTAATTCTTTAAACAACTTCCACGATGACATTTTTTGTTGATTACAATATTTAGGGTTTTGGAATATCTAATATATTGAAAAGATTCGTTAGACTTTATCATATCGATTGATCCCAATTTCTAATATAGATTTATTGTATATAAGTGCGTTTTATAATAGTGATTGACCCTATATACCAAATTATACAGTTTTTTGTCACAATGATGACAATAGTTTAGTTGAACAAATTGAAGATGGTAGGTAATATATCAATTTATGAAACATTGAATTCAATTGTGGTTGCACTTGTAGCCATCTTAGGTTGCACAATAATATCGGATAAGTATAATTCCATTCAACAAACTTCGATGATGTCGTATCTCAAAATTGGTTCAGCCTGTATATATTGAATATACACAATTCGAATAGTACAATTGTGAGTTTGAAAAATATTTTCGTGTATTCAAAATGAATTTATATTGAAGATTTTGTCGACCTTCCTACTGGAAATTATATAGGTATATAGTCAATTATTGTGTGTTTACAAAAGTGGGATTAAAAACGAAAATACTCACGTTGGAATCGCTAAAATAATGATATTCTTCAAAATTCCTCCTGAGAAAGCCAAGAGGATTATCAAAAATATGAACGTAGAATCTCCAAAATAAACTGGAACGTGTTGTCTCGGCTGGGCATTACAAAATATCATCATCGTTATCAATGAAAATCTTATCACAGACGGTACCATAACCACTTTACCATTCTTAGGCTGGAATGAGAAAAAATGTATGTAATAGCCTTGATTATAGTGGATACTCAAAGGTAATAGTGAAACTGCATGGAAATGAGTCTGTTGAGATTGTTTACATTATTAACTGTGAACGAATATTGAGATTGATTAACTGTATGATCTATTAATTATTTATATATGGCTCATTGAGCGGAGTGTAATGATATTCCCCTTACAGGGGCTCTAGAAACATCAGCAGGAAGGCAGGAGTACAACGATCATCCTGTAACACGCAACCTCCCAATGAATCCTACGTGCACCAGCATATTTCCGAACACTCAATATATGCCGCGGTAACAAATAACGTGACAGAAGATTCTGGAATGTTCTGGAAACAATCGATGGAACAATTAGAGAGAGAGGTTTTGTTTTAAGAAGCTTCTATATAGAACAAAAAGAAGGGGACGGAAGATCATTCGAGAACGTTCTCGAACCAAAGCCTACGAAGGAATCTCATATATAAACGGCCGGACAACTGCCGTCAGTCAGTCGAGCAGCGAGTGTCTGAGAGACAGTTATATACCGCGTGATATAAATCGTTTTACATAAATAGTAGTTATAGGTTCGATATAAATTAGTGTTTCTTTAATTCAAATAAATCAGTTCGAAAATAAATAGTGTCGTGTTCGCTTCTGCACCCGAATAACGTAACAGAATGTTAAGAAATAACAAATAATATTTGTTCACAACCCCAATAATAAGACATCATTCAATTCATGATAATATATTAATTCATTAACAATGAATATTTACTTTGTTTTGAATTTTTATTGTTTGATACCTACAAGAATATAAATTTTCCCCTAAATGAGACGATATTCATTATTGAAAAATCACTGTTTTTAGTCGCTGGGTCATTCACTAAGTACATTCGTTTTTGATTATATTTCTGAATATAGCATATGCCCCGGGACTTTGACGCACTAATGCCTCTTCCTGTATATTATACAGAGTTTTTTCCGAAATTGGGGCAATGAATGAAATGAGTGATAGATAATAAGAACAAAATTGAATGAAAAAATACATTTTTGTCGAAACACAAATATTTTGGAAGATATTGAGCTTCAAAGTTTGCATGAAACTTTTGTTAATCATTGATCAGAGGTTGATACCACAACCCAAACGTTTGCTTTCGGCGAGATCACAAGCACCGGAAACAATGACTTCCACTGTTGCCGCAGGGAACATTTTCAAAAAAAATGTGTATAAATTACGCAATATGGTCGAAGAGTGAATCACTCCAACCAAGGGGTTTTTCAAATACCGTATATATATCAATGAGGAATTTAATGACAGCTCTGTTTGAGTATCAACAAATTGTTAAATCACGGCCGGTTGCATATACCTTTCTGTTATCTCATAACGAAGAATCAACTCCCTAACTCATCAGCTATAAGGCATACCAACGTTGCCATTCATAGACGATTGTGCAACCGACCTTCAATGATATACAAGAGTAAGAGAAGCCTACATGTGGCCTAGAACGATATGATTTATTATTCAGGATATTTCAGGAACAACAAGAGTTATCCTGGATTAAAAACATGAAAATGATATGTGAAATTTCCCAGCGAGCACAAACATCCCTGGGATGTTTTGGGATGTTTTGAAAATGTTGGCATGAAGATGTTATTTTGAGACGTAATATGCACTGACCAAAGAGGTCTTTGAAGGATATTGAAGTATTGTTTTTGTTCTTCTGTGGCATTTCTTTGTTTGCCTACTGAGAGGTATCTCTGGGATGTTTTGGGATGTTTTAGAAATGTAGGCATGAGGATGTTTTTTCGAGGCGTAATATGCACTTCCCAAAGAGGTCTTAGAAGGATATTGAAAGTATTGTTTTTGTTCTTTTGTGCCCTTTCTTTGTCTGCCCCACCACAACGTCTCATGCTTACGTCACAATACGATGAATTCTGATTTGTTTTCGATTTTGTTCTTCTTGTTCGCAATTGGCATTCGCGTTTGCAGCGTGTCACGCTTATATACATCACGCTGCTAACGAACAGAAAGGAATTTGGTGAAGTTTATTGTGTTAGAAGACTTATTTAGTTTGTAATAATGACCATCAGATGCAAAATGAGTTGTTCGGTGCCTCAGTGTAATCAATATATAAAAGTACGAATTCATCAATACATCACAGCTTCTCCGCAGTTGCAAAATTATGCATTGTGGAGAATATTTCAAAAATTGGGAAACCTATTTCCAATTATATATGTCTGTGTGTAGTAAGCACTACTCAGAAACAGATTAAGAAGGTAGTTTCATATCAAGAAAATATTTTTATGTTCAATCTATTTTTAATGCATTTTTTCATTCAAGGGAAATGGAATCCTAATGCAAAAGTTCATTTTGACATAAGGCTTCAGAAAAGTACCTCGAAAATGTTTTTTTTTACAGCGATTTAATGTGCGCAAGACGCGTTCAAAATGTTCTGTTGTGTCCATGAGAAGGCTTTAAAAAGAACTAGGGAGAAGGTAGTTTTGTGACTTATCAAGGACATCTCGATAATTGCCGCCTGCGGCGGACATTGGCTGTTCTATAATAGTTCTATTCATGTGTGAACAGAACATCGCAGTGGAGGTTCAATGTCTCGAAATCTCGTACTTTTAACATCTCTGAGATGTTTTTATGCTCGCTGGGTTTCTTCTTTGACGAACTCAGACATCTTCAACGATGGCATTTTAATTATATACTCATATTATAATTATAATTTTTCTACTTACCGTTTTCACTATTCTTGCTGACTCTAACCCAATGAGATTGCAAACATAATAAAGTAGAAGAACAACAACGGGTGTGAAATAGAGCTCTGAAATAAAACAATCATAATAGTTAATTATCCATCATCGTTGAATTATGATGCCATAACTATATGGGTTTCACACGAGCTATAATAATCTCAAATTTTCTAGAATACAGATAAATGCGTGACCCACTACGCTTCTTCATTCTTATATATTTATAATTAAAAATCATTGAAGATTGTCTATATCATAACCCTTAAATAAATAACTACGTCTGGATAGAAAGAAAAAAAATTGAAGCCTAACTTCAGAAACAAGAGGCGTACTACAGTGTGTCGAGCAATTATTTGTAGAAAATTTCACACCAAACATTTTTGATCAATTTAAAGCCCGTATTTCGTATCGTTACCATAGCAACTGAACAAATTTCTTGGAAATGTTTTCTTCCTCCTTGGGGAAAGGAGCATGAAATTACACTGGAATTTTTTTGACGTTTATAGGTTAAATGACATTTACATTCAACTTCAGATTATTTCGAGTTCATTCTATAAGTCAATAAATAAAAATCATTTATCAACAGTTTACCATATAATATTATGTAGGTATACTTGCAATATAATATTTCAGTGTGAATTTTTTTTACCGAATACCACTTTAGCTTCAATTAATATCCGGGAATTTTTTCTCGAACACGAATATTTAGAAAATTTCAAGAAAGTTTCAAAATATTCGTGTTCTCGAAAAAATTTCCGGAAATAATTGAAGCTACAGAGTGGTATTCGGTAATATTATAAGTGAAAATTATGAGATTATTATATGTATGAAGGAACTATAGATACTACCTTTTAGATTTTTATGCCCACTATCCCACTAAAGAGTTATAGCTTGTGCCCTACATAGTTATGGCATCATAATTCTACGATGATGGATATACAGAGTGGCTGGAATTTGAGCCTCATCATTGGGGTCTCGTAAACCGTAAGAGATACAGGGTCGGTTGAATCATGGCCCCACCCTTCCATTTTTTCCCAATGGACTGAACGCGCTCTCAAACTCCCTAAAACGGGAATTATTCGAGGTTTCTAAGGTGGTTCGGTCGACCCGAAGATCCAATGATCTGGTTCCGACCGAACGACTGATCACATCCAGCCCAAAGTGGGCGAAGTTAGTAATTTGGCACAACCACTAGCCGAACCAGTGAATATTCACTCGGACCACATCCGACTAACCGAAATTCGCTTGAATTCAGTCTGTTAGTCCTGTACCTTCCTACCAAACCCATCCCCAACCCCTACCCACACCACCCCATATCAGTTGCACTTGGAAGTATTGAAATAGTGGTTTTTTATTTTCATTTTCCACTAATTAAATCACCTAATTTAGAGAGATCTTGGTAGCATCAAATCTGAACGTTGAATTTTCGCTCGCCCTGAGCATCTCGCTGATATTGGCCATGGATAGGACCCCGTCCTGGGACATAGTCTGCCCATCATATCTATCATGTGTGTTGTGTAAAAACCGACCCCCCTGGACCATTCGTGGCCGACCTCTGGGCACCGAGAGGTCTCCCCAGAGGGTTTTAACGCGTATTTGTACCGTAATGTTTCATATGTTTCTGTTTTATTTACATGTTATATTAGGTTTTATATATACCCACATAAATGTTATACATGTTCAAGTTGAGAAATAAAAGTATTGAACCGGTTGAATCATGGCAAAGCTGCCCAATTTGATGCCTAACAAAATGCCGAAAAAAACCGAAATTTCATAAAATCGTTTTCATTTTTTTCTGGCGTTATTGAAGGGAATTCATCGATATGAATAACACTTTATCCGAGACTTTATCATAGCCACTTCCTGTTGCCTACAAGATGGCGTTTTCAAATTCGAAATCTGACGTTTTGTCTTCCAGAAACCATCACCAACTTATTTTTTTCAAATACGGACCTGGATTTTTCATTAAATTTTTTGTTACCTTCAGATAGCCCAAGAACTCTAACCTATCACGAATTTCGATTTTCGAACATTAAATTGTGGTAGGTTTATGTAAAGACCTTTTAGAGACACCCTGTATTTTCGTTCCCAATGTCAAATTATTGAAAGCAATGATTTCGATGTCACCATGTATATATGATATTATTTTCGAACGTTCCAGAAATGTTATATATGTGGACATGTTTTTTCTGTATGTTTACGTTACGATTCTGAAACATCACTTTGAGATGTTTCAGAGTTCATTTGAAATGTGTCATGCAATTTTGTTTGCTGGAATTAGTTGCAAATTTCATTACTTCTTAGCGTATATTAGACAACCATGCACCCATATAGCACCAGTACGTCCCCAAAACGTACTGAAAACGTACGACCAAAACGTTTCGTACGTACTGGGAACGTCCAGATTAAGTTCGTAGACGTACAAGGTACGTACTGGGAACGTCCAGATTCCGCGCATTTGTACATCCCCAGTACGTCCATTCAGAACCATGAATACCTGTCGCCTTCCTGGACAGAGTACAAAAGATCTTTTTCTACGGCTATAACACAAGATTGTTCTTGTTTTACTATGTTCGATACTTCAATGAGGTACTTTGTATATCATCAGTTTTATTTCTGTATCTGATACCACAATGAGTCCATTGTGTTATTATTTCAAAAAAATCATATCGCTCATAGAATGTCAAATTTTAAGCTATGACAGCTCTGTCTGATAGATGAGCATCACTTGAGAGGAAATCAGATGGCTACAGGGCGAAGAAATAAAAAATGCCGCTGTTATCTGTTACAGCCGTAGACAAATTATAGTGTATAACTCGCACGGAATGCTAATTTTCCACTCGAATGATTGCAGCATTCGGCTACGGCTCATGCTGCAAACTTCATTCTTGTGGGAAATCACTATCATTCCGTGCTCGTTAAACAATATACTATATTAAAAAAATGCGCTCCTACCGGGGATCGATCTCACGACCTTTAGATTACGCAGATGCTCTACCCATTTCTCTACAGAACACTTATTGATATAGCAGTATACAACAAGAGATTATGTGCGAATGTCAATTGACCCTTCACATTGATACACACAGAGAATACCTAAATAAACTGGTCAACATTGATAACGTCGTGCTCCAAAATATAGCCTGATTTCAAAGTAGAATAACTCACGAATTTCCTCACCAATTTGAAATCGGTTCAATTCCACCGATGATTAGTCTAATCTCTTGACAGTTTGTTGTGGGAATATGAATCTTCTGTAATTTCAGATAACATTGCTACAGGGTGATAATTGAATGAGTGTAAAATTGCATCGTGGTCGTCACCTTACTGTTTGAACAGATAATTTTTTTTATTTTTTTTTCTCACCTGTATCCTCTTGATTGATGCTTTCTCTCGAAACATTTTCGGAATTTTCAAATTCAGAGCTTTGATAATCGTGTTATGAATATTCATTCAGAATGATGCATTTTTTCGACGATTAATTGAATGAAATTGAAAGTTGGAATTCTTCTCCGAAGAATCAACGTTGTATGTATAGTCGTCGGATATGTGATCGTGTTCGAACACAGAGAATTCTGAAAAAGTCCATACAAAGTGATACAAGAAATACTGAATGATGGAATGGAGAATGAAGTAGTCTTCAGTAGATGAAAAATAATTTTCTCTGTGTTACTAGTGGAATAATGGAGTGTTACTTCGTCATGAGGATGTCTGGTGTCTGACCTCGAAATGGTTTTGTAATCTCTTGGATCGAAGGTGATATAATGAAAGAATGCATTTTCAATAGAAATGATGCATTTTCGTTAGGATAAATTATAAAATTAAAAAAATTACAATTGTTGTTCCAGAAGTATGCAATTCATATTCATTCTTGACGATGGATATACAAGGTGCGATAAAAAATATGTTCAGATTGTCCCGGGATGAAGAAAGGATATGTTTAAACGTGATGAAAATCGCTATGTCCCGAAAATGGAATATAGTGTCGGACATTGTCGAAATTTGTGAAATGTATAAATACAGTACTTTTTCATGAGGTTTATACGAGGTAATATGAACAAGACTTCACATATTGGAATGAACGTCAATCCAATATGCAATTAGGAATTTTTTGACGTGAGAAAACATAATAGCAATAATTGTGAGTATAAGTTAGGAAATCTATATTTTTTTCAACGGAATTCGTCAAATCTACAGCATCAGGTGAGATATTATGAATTCCTAATGAATCACCCTGTGAAAAAGATGATGCAGAAATGAGCATTCAAGAGTTATTCTACCTTCATTCAAGTTCACACTGAGTGACAATGAGGAAAATTTCCTTCGGAAGACCATGTTGTAGGTGCTAGATCAGTATAAGATGCAATGGTAACAAGTATGCACGAATATATGGAAATTTTATCTTCATTAGTATGGAAACATTCAATCAAATCTGTGGCAATTCTGCAGTCTCTTTCATGTTTCCTTGTATAAACCTCATGAAAAGTTACTATATTTATTCATTTCACAATTCTCGACCATGATCGACATTATATTCCTTTTTCGGAACAGCGATTTTCATCACGTTCAAACATATTCTTCTTCATCCCAGGACAATCTGGACATATTTTTTATCGCACCTTGTGAATCCATCGTCAAGAATGAATATGCATTTTATACTTCTGGAAGTACAATCATAATTTTTTGAATGTTATAATTTATCTTAACGAAAATGCACCATTTTGATTAAAAATGCGTACTTTCATTATATGACCTTCGATCCAAGAAAGTACAAAACCATTTCCACCAGACATCCTCATGACGAAGTGACACTCCATTATTTCACTAGTATCACAGAGAAAATTATGTTTCATCTACTGAAGACTACTTTATTCTCCATTCCATCATTCAGTATTTCTTGTATCACTATGTATAGACTTTTTCAGAATTTTCTGTGTTCGAACACGATCACATATCCGACGACTATACATACAACGTTGATTCTTCGGAGAAGAATTCCAACTTTCAATTTCATTCAATTAATCGTCGAAAAAATGCATCATTCTGAATGAATATTCATAACACGATTATCAAAGCTCTGAATTTGAGAATTCCGAAAACTTTTCGAGAGAAAGCATCAATTAAGAGGATACAGGTGAGAAAAAAAAAATTAATAAAAAAAATATACTCATCAGTACATCGGATTCGTACATACCCAGTACGTCTAGAAATGGACGTTTTCAGTACGTCTCGAAAGGGTCCCGGACGTACAGACCTAAAACGGACGTCTTCAGAACGTCTAGTGCTATATGAGCATGGTAGACATTTTCTAAACCTACCTTCTACTTACCACTCCAGGTGGTGTCATGTGCCGTGGACATTACAAGGGTTGTGTAACCAGGATGAATCAAGAATGTAGTACCATCTACAATCATTAATGAAGCATAGTACCATTTTATCTTCCGGAATATGCTGACCATTTTCTCTCTGCTCACAACCTTCACGTCATTCATCTCCCTGTATGTGTCCGCTGCACTATGATCTGTAGGATGTTTTTTGTATAGGTATTTATACAGGATGACATTGGAATGAATATTCGCTCGACGTGTATCAGTGAGGCAAAGATAATTAGATTGCACAGCATAAGGTTCAGGATATGTAGGTGATACGAATTCGACTAAATGGGAAAAAATTAGGCAACCAGAGGGTAATCCAACAGCCTTCGAAAATGTTTATAGTCCTTCAGTTATATCAGAAAAAGTGAATTTCTGCAAAATCTTTTCAATTATTTTTCTACGTTATTATTATAGATACAGATGATCTGAAAATACCTTTCCATAGCAACTTTTGATGATATTTGAAGATGAAGGTATTGATTTCTCTATGAGACGTTTCGTTTTCGTAGAACCATCATAAACTTATTTTTGTTATTCTAAATACAAACATGAATTATACAAAGTTTCGACCTAGTTTTCACCATCATCAATGATGTTTTTTCGAAATTCCAAAGGAAAAAATTCATCAGTTTAACTTATTTCTGATCATTCATTGTTAAATATTGATGGACTAGTTATTTGGTACTGAAAAGAAAAACATATTTCACTAAATTATTCAACGCAGCGCTTCAAATTTAACCCATTATCGGTTTGAGTGACCATAAAGGCAACACAATTTTTCATACCCTTTATAGGGCAAGACATCATGATGATCTAACAAAATTACTATACTTCCACAGCCTATTCTGAATCTGTGTCGTATGACAATCACAGTAGTTCTATGTTGATAATTATACCTGTTACGATTTCACATATTGTTACCATATGGTTACATATTCAAGTAAAATAACTCAAATCACCAGAATAAATACAAAAAGCTCAAAGCCATTTCTACACAATGTTCATAAAATGAACAACAATGGTAGGTTTCTGGAGAAAAACAACTACTTTCCTGGCTAAAGCTACGCAGAAACTTGAATTACATCCTCCCGAAATCTATGCATTGACTCGTATAAACGAATACCGATACAAGTGATTCTTTCCTGAATGCCTATCGCTTTCGATTTAGCCAGGCCACGCTAGACACCTACAGACCGGTTTCGAGCTCTTTGACTCTCATCAGTGCAGGGCAGTCTCCAGCCAGCAGTCTTAAGACCGCCGAATAAGCATAGCCTAGCCAAACAAAAATCAAGTCGGCATTATATTTCCCCAGATGCGTTCTCCAAAGACAATATGAGAGCAACGTCATCTGAGTTGAAAATATGGAAAAAAACACTCTAGAACCGAAATTCCCATAAGGAAGTGGCTGGTTGCCCGACTGGCGTAATTTCAACTACGAAATAGTCACAATGAACAAAGTGGAAGGACATGTTCTTCAGATAGAGAGATACGATGCCACCGCCAAATGATTCAAAATTCAAAGTACCCGTTCACCGAATGTAAAAAATATAAAACTGTAAAATTTCCCTTCTTCCTTCTTCAGAACGTGAAGTTCCCGGATACGGTTCTGTCGGTTCTCATTCTATCTCATTTGAACTGAGAAAAAATGAAAGTATATTAGTGCCTCTTTTGACAACTTCATCCAACTTCATTTGTTTATTCATGTCCTGCCGTTTCCAGAAAACACTACTTTGTTTTTTACTCATATTTTTGAAATCCAGTTTCAATATTTACCATTATTATACCAATGACAATCTATTGAGTACTGAATTCTGGTTTCGTTATTTGTTATTGAGTTATAGACGAACCACGAAATTACCCCTACTGAGTAGAATAAGGTTTTTTCATCTTTATCAAATAAAAGTATATAGAACTCCCTGTATGATCGAAGATCCCAATCCTTTTGATGCGGTGCCGACTGCCGGCGGTCGCTAATTGCGCGTTTGCTTCAAAAGGCGACGAGTCAAGAGGCGACATATAAAAGGCAAGAAGCAATATGATACTTGTCGCCTCGTCGGCGATGAGTATATTGCTGCTTGCTTTTTTCTTTTTTCCTACCGCCTCTTAAAATTCCCCGCCGGGGGCTGATAGTCCCAAAGCCCCTCCCCCCTAAATCCGGCACTGTTTCCATATAACAACACAGCATTCAAAAAAACAACAGTTTGGGACACATTTATATGAGTCGTATTTTCCTCATCATATCCATCTGAGAGGGGGTGATAGCCTATACACGGAAAAAAAGGATTTGTTGCATCAACAGATTATTTATGCTTGCAGCTTGTTCAAATCAAGAATGTAGGCTAATTGAATCAAGTATAATATCAATTCCATCAACAAAATATATGGTTTCTTCAAAAACAAATTATGTCGATTCAAAATAATGTCGATGTTGATTCAACTATAAACATTTCGTTGATTTGATCAAACAATGACTAGTTTTCTTATTCCGATGTAGCAATAAACTCGTTTCGAACGGATCATTTGCTTGAATAGAGCAACGAAATATGTAAAATCAATGAAATATTCAGGTCATTCTACATCAACTTGAATTTTCGCCTCTAGATGGCGATCATTTCGCCTCGTCTATGCCTGCCTCGAATTCATTATATACGTTAAGCCTGATTCTTCGTGTTTGAAATATCAGCTGGATAAATCGAACTTAGGATGATTATGATTAGCAATCCGAAATAGTTTTCCATCAGCTAAGGAGAAGTAAAGCCTTGAGATCTATGCTGGGAGTCGACTAGTTTCCTAGTTTTGTTTATTCTATTGATGTGAAATTTCAGAAAATTTCCGAATATTGAATTTAGTTCAACAAAACAATTTTTAGAATGGATATATAGTTTCTCTTGAATCAACAATATATTTCATTGAATTAACCAAATATTTAATTGAATCAACCAAATATTTTATTGATTCAACCAAATATTTCTTTGAATCAACCAAATATTTCGTTGAATCAACTAAATATTTGATTGAATCAATATCTTGTTATTTTGAATCGAACGAAATGATTGTTTGAGCCAATTCAATATCTCTTCATAAACAATTCATAGATGTGCTTGATCGAAGAAGATTCAGAGTTCATGCAAGACATATTCATTTGATTCAAACTTCAAATTCGCTCTGAAACAAGATATAGATTTACTCATTTCAAGATTATATTTTCTCGTGCATATATGACACTTTTATTTGCTCCATTCAATTAAATTTTGCTTGATTCAACAATTCCTTTTTTTCCGTGTACATTTTTTCTAACCATAGAATGAGCAACAAACTCATCCATACCAGTTTTTTTTTCGAAAAACCCATTAGAACAAAATGCGAAATAATGGACGAAGTAACCATATGGTTACGCTCATTCAGAGTCGAAAAATTGTCTCATTGAAAATAACAATAAATATATTAACACAAATATGAAAGAAGCTAACACGAAAATTCTAATGAGAATAATCGAGTTTAACATTTCAAAACATCAACAATTACACATGTACACAAGTCAACCAGAGAAATTGACGAACACAAATCATAAAAAATTGAACTGCCAGCCGAAGATGGCGCGAAACCGTACCCCCTCTTAAGCTTGTTTGTTATCAAATGGTTCCATTGCCTGAGCATCGAAGAACTACAGGGAATAAAGAATATACGCTTGTGAATATAATGTGACCATATGGTCACATGGTCCATAAAATAGCCCATGGTTTTATCAGAAGCGGACCGATAAAGTGTTAATACCATTTTTTTAAACGAAGATATCCTCTTTTACAGTTGCTTCTAAGACATTCCTAACCATTTCGATGGTCCATGAAATAGCCCATGGTTTCATCAGCAGAGGACCGATGAAGGGTTAATACCATTTTTTTTAACGAAGATATCCTCTTTTACAGTTGCTTCTCAGACATTCCTAACCATTTCCTCGGTAACACATATTACTTCACTTCGTACTTAGCTTGGTATTACTATTAGCAATAACCTTTCTTGGGAAAATCGCGTGAGATCAATTGCTAAAAGTGCATCCCAAAAACTTGGTTTTCAGTTTCGGGCCAGGACCTATTTCACTTCCAGTCAGATGCTCATGATCTATAAGGCACAGATCCGACCTGTCCTGGAATACTGTACCCATATTCTGTCCAAAAAAGGGCAATTCGTCTCGTGGGTGATGCCTCGCTCACAAACTCACTCACTTCTCAAGAACACAAATTCCTACCTTATTTCCCTTGGTACTCACGATGTTCTCTTAATATTACAGGATATCCCTTCCCGTGTGAACCAGAACATTAAAAAAATATTTACATGGACGATGCTCTTCGCAACCCCGTCTAGGCTTCGCACCCCTTCGTGATCACTTTGGAGTCCTGCAGAACATCTCTTTCCAAAGACCCGTTCATCCAACGAAAAGCGAGGCTCTGGAACACACTGGCAAGGGAGGTGTTCCCCGAGGCATATAACCTCCAGAAATTTAAGAAGAACACCAATTCCTACCTTATTCCCCTTGGTTCTCACGATGTTCTCTGAAAATTACAGGATATCCCTTTTCGTGAGAACCAGAACATGAAAAAAAAATTCTTTAGTGATCGATTCACAATTGGGATACTTATTGAAACCAAGAAATTTCACTTCTTGCAAAATGTTGAGTAATTATACTACCTATACTTACATAGTGAAAAATATTGAGGAGAAATTTGAATTTATTGGAAAAAACATTGATATTGCCTAATGCTATAATGCATTGTTGTATTCATAATAACCGATTATTTCAAAGGAGTTTCATGTTACAAAAGAGAGCTCTCAGATATATGTGCCATGCAAAATCAACAGATTCTTGTAGAGAGTTGTTTAGGGATTGTGGTATACTAACTGTGATTTCTTTATGTATCTTGGAAACAGCTTCTCTGATTTACAAGAATATACGGTCTTTCCCACTTGTCTCCTCACGATATAATACAAGACAGAGCGGTCAAATAAAATTGATAATCCCCCGCACCACTATGATAAAGGATTCTATTATTTACTCTGGAATAAAAATATACAACCATCTGCCAAATGACATAAAAGGAATCGCATGTTATAAAAAATTCCGTACTAAGGTGAAAGCATTACTTCTACAAACATCATTGTACAACTTGACTGAATATTTTCTGCGAAGCTTTAACTAGAGTCTCTCAAATTGCTGTGTGTATATATATTTACATTACCTATTTTGTCTGTTGGATCAATTTATTTTTATTTATTTATATACATTTCAAGTGTTGTCAACAAGTGTGTGATTTTGAAACTAGTGTTGTTTATTTATTTATTTTTTATGTATTTTATGTGTATAACAAGCTTTGTCAACAAGTGATAACTTAAGACAATAAAGTATATTTTGAATTGAATTGAATTGAAGTCCTCAAGGAGGACATACTATATATGAAAATTGACTCACCCTGAATAGTGTATATGAAGAACTTGGATCTTCGAATAAGGAAGAGGTAGAAGACAGTCGTCGCTAGCATGATGGCGGTACCCAAGGTGAAGTATATGGTACCATTCATTTCTGGCGATACCCTGGCACCGATCAGCGCTATCTGGATCAGAACTGCGATGATACCACATATGGATGGCCCTGACATTATAGATGCGTAGTAGCGAACCGGAAATTTGGTTACCAGTTCGTAGAGGCTTATCATACTAATGGCACTACAAACTGAAAATAGTATTCAGATTTCCTTGTTTTTTTCATGAAAATACGGTTCACATCAACATATTATACACACTTATCCGTCAAAATTCACCCACATATTCAGTGTAACATGAAAAATTGATTACCTACACAAGAAATGATGTCATAAAAGTCCAGCAGAAAACGAGATAAAAATAAAATTTATAACACTTTACTTTCTACAAAAACTGTATGAAATGGGTTCCATTGGCTTCAACGTAATATTTTTGGGCCCTCCGAATCCAATTTCGGTGTACAGAACTGAAATATTTTATTGTTTCACACCTTATCCCGACAACCTTTAATGACAAATACTCTTGAACGTTTTTTTTTTTTGTATATCAAAATTTGTTGTGAAACACACTGTACACATCAGAAGAAGCTACCGTGTTAGTGAAACACATCTTGTTTTCAATGATCTTATGCAAATATTATCATTTGTGAAATTTGTACATGGATTAATAACTTTTTTTTATGGACCGAATCACAAATGCTCCGACATAACTCCACTTGACGAACTTGTTTTACATCACTTCGATTCCAGCAAGTCAGTTAGTACTTCTGTTTCGAATGGTATGGGTCAGTATTCGATTTCTTATATAACTTGGAGGTGTTAAAACCTAGAGGTTTACTGAACTATAGAAACTATCGCTACATCAATTCAATTCTACAAGCACTAAATGCTTGTTCTCCATTTTTGAATTTATTAGTTGGTCTAGCAAAGGAAATTTCATCAAGTAAAAATAGGTATCCTACTTTGATTATTGATGGCATGTTCAGGAATTCAACCATCTGTCGCTGGCGAAGATGACGAGTGGCAGAAACTTTTACAACAAGACGGCGCAAGAAAAGAAAACAGCGTTTTGATCGACACGATCCCATTCGAGCCTATCTGGATCTACAAGATGTTGGCTGATTTTCGGTCGGACCTGATTGAGGACAGGCAGGAAGACGCAGAAGAGTTCCTCGGATTCCTACTGAACGGCCTCAACGACGAGATGTTCGAATTGATGAAACAAGTTTTGGATTTGGAGAATACTTGCAGTGTTTCAAAAAGTACAGTCTTCGAAAAGACGCCAATACACGCTATTTTGGCGGCCAGTTGAGATCGAAAATCATGCGAGCTGGAGATGTTTCCATGGAGAATATTCAACCGTTCCTGACTCTGCAACTGAATGTTGACAAAGTGAAGACGATCAACGAGGCTCTTGTGAATAAGGAGCAGTTGGAAGGATTGACCTCTCCTAACACAAATGGACTGGTACAGGCGTGGCAGCAATTGATGTTGGATGTGCTGCCAGTTATCCTCATTCTGCATCTGAAATTCTTCGATTTCAAGCCAGACGTTTGTACGAGAATTATCAAGGCGTTGGAATTTCCTGTCGACTTAGAAATCGAATCTAGGTTGTTATCTTCGAAGTCACAAACGCCCGACGGAAGAAAGTATATGTTGTTTGCCGTGGTCTACCACGTCGGCGATAAGGCAACTAGGGGCCACTATTTTACCGATGCCTTCCAAATGGAAAATAGCTGTTGGTTGCGCTTCGATGATGCCCCCGTTAAAACAGTCACCGAAGAGCAAGTGTTGAAGCAGGGCCTACTCTATCTCAGAGTAGGCCCTGGTTGAAGTCGCAGGACACACAAGTGCCTTTTTCACTATTCTACAGGCGGAGGGATACTATCGGTTGGAATAATAATTGACTTCTAGGATGGGATTTGTTATTTCTTTTTTAACCAAATTGTATTTGAATTTCCAAATGAATATGATTAGATTTTATTCACGATAAATGTACTTCTTTTCCATCAAGGTGAAATACATCTCTGTGAATGTTATCCTGAATGGAATGAATATTGCTTTGGTTGAATGTAGTACGAATATTCGATATATTCTTGGAACTTGGAAGAATACATTCTGCTCAACAATGTGTTCAAGAATACACTCTTGCAAATGTTCTAATGCCTACGGCATCCCATTAGTCAATATGGCTTTCACAACCGAAGACCAACTGGAGATTTACTTGCCAACGTCACCCATTGTCATCAATTTTTCGGCGTTCCAAAAGTATTAATTTTGGCTCCAACATTGTTCCTACTTTATATCAATGATCTGTTTGGAGAAACCACTTGCCCTATCCACAGGTTATTTGCAGACGATAATACTCTCCATACTACGTTCTCTTCTATAATTCCCATTTCATCCCAGGAAACTAAGAACTGGTGCCGAAGGCAGGCCAACGTTGTCAATAAAGATCTTGCGAAAATTACAGCCTGAAATACCAACAACCTAGTTGAATTCAACGCCATCGAAACGCAAGCCTATATTTTCTCTAGAAAGGCGGAACTCAGTATGCCTAATATAACAATGTCTGGTACCACTATTTCCACTATATCTATGCTCGGTATTACCATCAGCAAATCTCTCTTACGGGAAAATCTTGTTCGATCCATCGCAAAAGCTGCCTTTGAAAAACTTGGATTCTTGTTCCTTGCGATAATCTACTTTACATCTCAACAGTTTCTCATGATGTACAAAGCACAGATGAATCAGTTTTAGAATACTGTTCTCACATATGGGGTTCAGCACCCAAACATACGCTGATTCTCTTAGATTCCATCCAGAGAAGAGCCATTCTGGTCGGTGATGCCACTAAAAAAGTCGGTGATCTTTTTCTCTTTTATTAATACTTCCACGAGAAATGTTCCTCAGAAATCTCTGCTATAATTTCATCACTAGCAATACCAGTCAGACGAGCCCGACAGACCCAGTCAGCACATCCTTGCGGTATGAACCTTGAAATATGTCGAACAACACTCTGCCAAAACTCGTGCTTCTATAGAACGGCAAAGCTTTGGAATTCTTTGCAATGGAAGTATTCCCAAGAACATAATTATAACCTCCAAAAGTTCAAATAAATTCCAATGTCTATCTCCTCTCCCTATTCTCCCTAGGTAGGCACGATTCTCTTCTAACATCATAAGGATTTTTTCATGCGCTTCAAGAGAGAAAAAAAAATGGTCACTATTCCCAACGCTATCTTCGAACTGAACTGTAATTTTGAAGGACGTTTCCAACAGTAATCTAGTTCATAATTTGTTTATGACCAGTTTCCGAAAAATGCCATTCTGAACTCACTGAACAATTTTTCTCTCAATTTGGACACCCTATATCTCGGAATTAAAGCATTTTCAGACCCATGTTTATGTAAACTCTTAAACACCTGTATCACAGTATATAACCTCCCAGCCAACCATCGTGTGACATCAACAACTGTGTGATGTAACAACCTTGCATGAATGCAATATCTCGTTAACACATCTTATCGACGTAGATTCGATATCAACGTCGCAAGGTGTCATCGCAACCAGGAAACTATGTAATGTGGCAGCGAAACTACATCTCTTCGACGTTAACTAAATAATTCACATTAGGCTTGTTCGCGTTCAAAATATAAACAGTCCGAAACCATCAGGAGTATGCGCAATTTCACAGAACAGTACCTACGAATTTATCAAGTTCCGTGGAACTGCGCAGGCTTCTGATGGTTTCGGACTGTTTATTTTTCGAACGCGAACAAACCTATTGATATCCTTATGAGATATCTTTGTGACATGCGCAAAACGAACGCACACGCCAGACGCCATGTTGAGCTGTGCATGGCGCATGGCCATGTCAGTCAGTCAGTCAGTCAGTCAGTCAGTCAGTGAGTGAGTCCGACTCCGTACAGACTATTTCATTTCCTTCCAAATTCTCTGTTGAAATATCTGAGATGATTTATAGCACATATTATTATAGCAGCTTCAAATTGGAGGTATACATTAATTTAGGAACGACGGTGAGTTCAATCATAATAGGTAATATTGTAATTATTATCTCTGAGATAGAAATATTGCAATCTAAAACAAGGTGGATGAAAGATCCCAAGATAATGTAATTGTATTTGATATGTATCATTTATGAATAATGTACCTATATTTGTATTGCTATATATATATATATATATATATATATATGTGTCATGTTTTACTTCAAGATTACCTACTAATTAGGGTGATTGTCATGATAAGTTTTGTATCATCTGTTTTTACTTTCGGAAAATAAACATTTTCTTCGTAAAGTTGAATAATTATTATTATTATGTATCCCACGAATATCACAGGTACGGCGACCACCTCATCGATGTCGCAGTGTGATGTATTTGCAATATGAAATGTGCACTTGTATGTGACCTGGTAGTGATTTTTCATGTGATGTCGCATTTCATGTCTGAACGACGTCACAGTGATGTTGCTTGAGTCGGACATTTTCACATCGCCACGTTGTATCGGTAACATGTTTGTGACTTCAAATGCGATATCGCATGTCACAAAGTGATGTGGCGTATACATCACTTATACACCTCATGGTTGGCTGGGCTGTTACTGTGCCTATATACTATCCCGCAAGAAAATGGCCAACAAAAATTGGCCAATAATTTCAATGTTGGCTTCATTCCGAAATGTTCATTTGTAAAGTAGAAAACAATAGATTCATTGATGAACATTGATGGTGGGTACAATATTGATAATAATTTTTTCGATTGGCTTTCTTGCAAGACAGTGGGTAGTTCATATTATGAATAAAGAACATTACTATATTTTATAGGTACTGATTATTTTATTCATATACTTACAAGTGATTAGGAGGAGTAGTAGAATGGAAATCCCGAAAATCAGTCGGACACCTATGAACATATAAAATATGCAGGTAGAAAATTTCTCAAATTAATAATAAATTCAGAATTTTTGAAACGGCATTATCGTAAACTCTATACTGAAAAACTACCAGTGAATCAATTTTGAATTTTTTCATTCATGCTAAGACGATGAAAAAAATAAATTAGAATATGTCCATTTCTACACACAATTCCTGCGCCATTTGAAAATTTGTCAATTCATTGGTGAGACTGGTGCGACGTCTTAGTCCCAACACGCCTATTGCCCTTGCACTCACTGCAGAATGACGAGGTATCAGAGAGAGATAGCTACAGTGCGGGACTAATACGTCACAGCTCCTCCATCATATTTGGCTTTTCGAAATAACGAATGAAATATGCTGATTTCAAAACGATATAGATTCGATTCCCTTCAACTTCAACTCATAATATTGATTGTAGATCAAACGTAAATCATGATTCGTCGATTGAAAGAGGTTTGCACGGATTTCTTCCCTCAGTGGTCTTCCCCATTATTTAAGTAGTCATATGGCCTAGGGACCTGAAGCAAAGTTTACCAAGCAGCTAGTACGGATTCAATCCCATCCCGGGCGAGCTATAGTACTTTTTGTATTCATTATTTATTTTAGTTCCTTCCTTCTCAAAAGCTACGTTCCAGCATTTGTACAGGGTGGGCAAAATTGGGCGTTTTCACGGGCTATCTCAATAACTAAAGGACTTATCGAAAAACCGATATACATGTTACGGGTTCGATTTTAGAGAAACTTTAAATGGCGCATTGGGAATTTCGATATCTTCATTCGTTTCAGAGATACAGGGGGAAATTGAAAAATTGCCGATTTCGTTTTCATTTTCTGAGTACTTTATGGCAGGGAATATTGAAAATTTCCGAAAGTTCATCCATATAGCATGGTGCAAACAATCCATTGGCATCAATAGAAATTTTATACAGCTTTACATTAAAGAGATTCGGCAGCCAATTATATTTTTTCTTATGAAACACCCCGTATATTTTGGCACAGTTAGATAGTTCCAGGCGTTCCAATTTCAAATATATATATAATTCTCCCTTTTTCTTCCACAATTTCAGAAATATTCGCAAAAATATATTCAGTGAGTCACATTTTTCAAGGTTGCACCTATGTATCTTCCGCAATAATCATTGGGGTTGGATTCATACATTCACAACTGTGAGAAAGATGCCAATGATACACTCGAGGACCTAGGGGAAATAACTCCAGTGATAACACTGCTCGCCAGTAGCTATGGAATCACCGACATTTCTGGAAAATGCTATCAAGAGGAAGAATATTGGTTGAAAATGACACTCTGTATATATCAACCAAAGGAGGATTTCTAGAAAACCATATATATTGTCGAGATCACCAAAATGCTGGAGAATTGCGTGAAGACGTTATTTCAGCATTCCAAAAAGTGACACCCATTCACGATACTAACGCAGTGAATTCTGTTAGAAAACGATGTCAAGTTTGCTTAGGCCAGAACAGAAGACAATTTGAACATCTTCTATAGAACTATATTTCTCAACGTCACCTACTGATGATTTCCTAATTAGGTAAATTATCATTTGTCTTATTTCTGTATCTTAAATACACTCAGTTCCAAAAAAAGTGACGCACTTGATATTTGACCTATCTTTAAAAAAAAAATACAAAAAATAGTAGTCTGATTTTTTTTTAATTTGTTGGAAGGTTATGCATTCGTCTTAAAAAAAATAAAGAGGTGAACATTTTTTCAAAACCTCCTTGATGGTGGTTGAATAACTCGAACCATGATTTATTCTTAATTTTTGACTCACCCTGTGTGTTAATTGAATAATGGTATACAAAGTGCTTATACCCTATACGAAACAGGCTCCTTTTGCGAGCATTTTGTTTTCTTATTCATTGAATTATCTCTAAAATTTTCTGAATTACAGCTTTTTTGCTGATACCTTACGCTCATCCCACAAATTAAATTTTTGGAAGGATCAGAGTATTACTCAAAATTGATTGGGTTGTACTCTGGTAGGATCACATTGTCTTTAAAAAAACAAATGCCGTTGCCATAGCAACTAATTTGTTGTATGCCTCCATATTTGACCATTTGTCGTTGTGTCATCAATTAAGTGTCTTATTTTATTGACTAAAATTACATAAAATGCCTCAAATAAATCCTGACCAAGTAGCAAGATTAGTTGCGTTAGTGAACGATGGGCGTAGTAAACGTTACGCCGCTCGTGCAGTGGGAGTTCATGAAGCAACTGCTCGTAAAGCAATCCGCAAGTACGAACAAACAGGAAGCACCGCTCGGAGGGTCGGTTCTGGTTGCCCCCGAAAAACTTCTCCAAGAGATGATCGCTTCTTGAGATTTCGGATTTTACGGAATCGATCAAATACCGCGGTAAATGCTCAGCAAGATCTTCGCCAAATTCGTGATGTTGCAGTAAGTGAGCAGACGGTATGTAGACGTCTAAAAGAAGTTAATTTAAAAGCTAGGAGACCTGCAAAAGGTCCCAGATTATTGCCCGAACATCGTGCTGCTAGAAGATATTTTGTTGAAAATTATGGACCGTGGAATATTCCTGAATGGTCGAATGTCTTGTTCATGGATGAGTCAAGGTTTTGCCTTAACATGGTGGATGGAAGAAAAAGAGTGTGGAGAAGAACTGGTGAACTTTTCAATCAAAATTTGATAACAGAATGCGAAAGTTTTAATGGTGGGTCCGTTATGGTGTGGGAAGGGATTTCAATGAATGGAAAGACACCTCTTCATGTTTTTCCGGTGAGGCAGTTAATGAATGCCCAAATTTACATTGACATTTTAGAGCAGTATGTCATACCTTACCTTATGCAGAGTTAGTGGGCAATAATTTTATATTGATGGAGGATAATGCCCGACCACACACCGCAGCAATAGTGCGAAACTTCTTAAAAGCTACTGGCATTTCCACATTACAATGGCCTGCGAGAAGCCCCGATATGAATCCTATGGAACATTTGTGAGATGAATTAGGGAGAAGGGTACGTTCTCGCGAGAGGTCTCCGGGAAGTCTCGCAGAAATGGCAGATGCATTAGTGGAAGAATGGGATCGTATACCAATGGAAACGATAAGCAACTTAATTTGCTAGAGGAGGCAATACACGGTATTAAGCAGTCTTCCCAATTTATAATTTTGTGTTCAATAAAAATGTTTTTTAAAATTATTGGTATCAGTTTCTCGATAAATTCAGAAAGTTGGTAATCTGCAAGGATTCAGCGAAAAAAGCTGTAATTCGGGGAATTTTAGAGATAAATCAATGAATAAAAGAACAAAATGCTCGCAAAAGAAGCCTCTTTCGTATAGTTCGAGTTATTCCACCACCATCAAGGAGGGTTTGAAAACATGTTCACCTCTTTATTGTTTTTTTAAGACAAATAAAAGAAAAATAAAAATCGGCCTACTATTTTTTGTTTATTTTTTCAAGAAGATAGGTCAAATATCAAGTACATCACTTTTTTTGGAACTGTAGTGTAGTACATTTACTTTTAATATTTATGATTCCTAATATATTAATTCCTAACTTACCCAATGCAAATTGATAGTGCTGATCAATTATTGAATTACTTGTTATTCAATTACTCTTTTATTTTGTTTACACTTATTCACTCTAATAAAATATGTTTCGGTTTTTGCACCAACGTAGACAAAAAACGGCCTTGTTGGAAAAATTTACGTCGCGTTCAATATACACTTACTTTTTGCACTTGTCGCATAAATTAATATTGTTGGTGTGTAGAAAAACTTACTTTCTCTAAAGTCGATTTGTGTCAAAATCGTGCTGATGACGAACAGAAAGCAATCCATCATTAAGGCCCAAGTGATTCGTTTCACGGGAGGAGGCATTTTTTTGGAAAATAATACGGCCAGAAATAAAAAAGCCAGAAACGTGAAATGAGACGTTATGAGGAAGCTGGCGGTGAAACACCTCTGAAAATAATTTCTTTCGGGTGATCCTTCTGGAGGATTCGAATCAGTTGTTGGACAAGAAGAGGATGGAGGTCCGTCACATGGTTCTTGAAATTTGAAGTTCCAGTACTGAAATGATGAAATAATTAGAATCGATATCAGGAGAGGGCTTATCGATTTGACATAATAGAAATAATTTTAGGAAGCGTCGATTCAATTTTAGAAAGCGTCAATTGTAATTCAGAATAATCAATTCCCAGATAGCACAGGAATGTTCATAGAATATTCATAGAAGTACATGATGGAACATTTGAATATTCTTCGAATATTTCCATATTCAATGCACATTGTATGGACATCCAAAGTGTAATGAGTTTCACATTCTCTGAATATTCTCGGGATACTCTTTAGAATGTTCTGAGTTCATTATCGAAATATTTATTGAGTATTCTCAGACAAATATATTATCGATATACAGATTACAGAAAAGACTATTTGAATATTCTGAGAATATTCTTGGTATATTACAGGAGGAAGGAGGAAATTGAAAGAAAAAACCTAATATATAGGTTGGGTTAGGGGAACACTTTGTATATTTAATACAAGAATAACATCAATGTCATAATTAGATAATATTTTGAAGTATTCTATGATCATTCTGAAGACACTATATCAGAATATTATGAAATAAGTATAAATCATCAAAATATTCGCAAGGAATATTCCATGTATGTTAACAATATTCTGAAAATATCATTTCATGAACATTCTGAAATATTATATCTAGGGAGCTTCTAGGAATGTACTTTTATAATTTTATTAGAATATTCGCACCGAACAATCCATGAATATTCGCAACATTCTAAGAATAATTTATGAATATTCCTTAGAATATATTCCACAAGATGACTTTTCCGCTGCTTGTAAGAATATTCTGAAAATATTCGTGCTATTTGGGTTGAATATCAGAAAGCATCATTTAAATATCAAATGAAATTTTCTGAAATACAAATCCCAGTTAACACAGGATACCTTATGGATATCCATTTCAAGTCCTATTCAAGGCGGGATATCCATTTCAAGTCCTATTCAAGGCGGGATATCCGTGGACATAAAATGAATATCCATACGATATCCGATTGCGGATGTACTTGAGATATCCGAAACAAACGTCCTGAATACGTCCATAGTATATCCATAAGATACACAGACAAAAGATCAATACCTAGAAATTTCAAATCTAGTATATACAATGAATGAAATGATAGATAAATAAAAGGAGATCCACAAAAGTAACACTTGTGCGTGGGTCTTCCAAAAGATAGCACACATTGCAATTATTATTAATTCGGTTTTCAAAAACAGCGTGAGGTGGCGTAACTTCTCAAATAGTCCCAGATTGGTAGAACTAATGATTATTTATAGATCATCGATTCTACCAACCTTGGAATAGTAAAAAAAATTCTTTCTGTTCTCATATTTAATTAATTTGAAGTGAATTTGGAAGTGATTCCTACGAATTCGTCCAAAATTGATGATGCATAAGAACTGACAACTACATTATTCGAACGCAGTGAGACGTGAGTGCTTCCCAATTCTTGTGATTTTTTCTATATATAGGGTATATTATCTCTTATCCATATCCATAGTTGATATCTTATAGATATCCATAATGAATATCTTTAAGACATCCAAAAACGTCACACTGTCACATCCTATGAACGTCCATAGGATATACCAGAGCCTTTTTCGGATATCTTATGGACATCCACAATATCCATGATGGATAGTCATAAGATGTACTTGTGCCATCTGGGATGACACTTTCTGGAATCAAATTGACTATTCTGAAATACAATTGACGCTTTCTGAAATTGGTACACCCTTGAAAAGGTGTAGAAGTTACTCTGATTTTCTTACATCGAATAGCTCCCTGTATTTTTTCTGTTTTTTATTTTTAATTATTACCTTTCCAACAATATATTCAGAATATGAATAGATTTACAAAAAAATATTTTTTTTCTGTGACGGGAAAAAAGTTTGGCATTTCATCTCTGTTGGCAGGTTATAAAATGTCACTTTTCATAAATTACTTTTTTCCCGTGGGAAAAAAGTGAGTACATTTTTCCCGGATATATATCACATATATATACTCTGTTAATGGCTTTTGTTGTGCTATAGTTCCGAAAAATGAGTCTATAATACCGTCTCCGAGAAAGTCCTTTTATCTACCATTCGACTTCGCGGTTTCGTATATTACTAAACAACTACTGAATTCGCAATTTTTTAAAATCAAATCACGGAATTGAACTGACAGAAGTGACATCAGATATTTGATTACTTCAAAAGAATGATAAAGATGCATATTAAAACGCAGGTGTCCCTACTGTTAAAAACTTGAAATTTCGCGTCGATAATTTTCAGATTTCGAAATAAAGTAATATCTTCTCAATATTGATTCGTCCTTCCTTCTGTCACAGAAAAAAAAGTGTATTATACACGGGAAAAATATTAGATTTTAGCTCACGGTTTTTTGTCTCCCTCCGCTACGCGTCGGGAGACAACACAACCTGGAGCTAAAATCTACTACCTACTTTTTTCCCTTGTATAATAAATAACTATTAATTCTTGTAATATTATTGTTTAATGAGCCCGCAATGATAGTAATTGCCCAAGAGTATGTATAGTTTGTAGAAACAGAAGATACGTTTTCACAATTCGGGAAGATATACAGGGAGCAGCAAAAAGTATATGACCATTTTGAAAAACCAATAGCCGCTTTCTGAAACACAAGTGACTATTCTGAAATACAATTGACGCTTTCTGAAAAACAACTGGAAAAGGTGTAGAAGTGCTATCATCGACAATGTGCGACATTTCATTTGATCTGATTGTACATCCATACAGGGTGGCCCTTTGAAAACGAAACAGAGGCTATGTAGGTCGCCAAAACCGGATTATGAAGAAACTCTGGAACAGGTCAACTACATTTTCGAGGGGGCCATCGTTCTAATATATTTTCAGCCCTGCGCCGTTGCCCCTTCTAACGAAAAGAAGCAACAACTTTGTTATTTCAAATAGAACACCTTGTATTTCATTGCATTCTTAGATTCTTCCTGGAGAGCTGATTTCATCAATGCATCATACTTGGGGTCTAGCTGGAATGATTTCAGGAATATATAGGGTGTTCAATATCGAGATTTTTCAACTTTAGCATTTGTTTGTGTCGAAACTATTCATTATTGGTCGAAACGACTTTCATGTCTCTATCTCAACTTTTGATTTACTATCTACTGACATTCAATTGGAACAGATACAGGGTGATCAGAATTCTGAATCTTGAACCACCCTGTATTTGTTTCGAATAAATGTCAATAGATAGTGGATCGAATGTTTGAGATACGGTTATATGAGCCGCTTTGACCAATGATAAATAGTTTCGACAGAAAAAAATGCTGAATTTGAAAAATATCGATTTTGAACACCCTATAGCTCTGTAATCATTGCCACTAGATCCCAAGTGTGATGCATTGATGAAACCTGCTCTTTGGGGAGAATCTAAAAATGCAATGAAATACAATGTGTTCCATTTGAAATAACAAAGTTGTTGCTTCTTCTCGTTAGGAGCGGCAACGCCGCAGGACTGAAAATATTTCAGAACGATGTCCCCCTCGAAAATGTAGTTGACGTGTTTCAGAGTATTTTCCACGTATTTTCATAATCCGGTTTTGACGACCTACAGAGCCTCTGTTTCGATTTCACAGGGCCACCCTGTATATAGATATTCATAACTCGCATAAACGCATACCTACCGTGTATGCGTGAATGAAGACATGATACGGTACATACACCAACATCCCCATCAAATAGAAGAATCCATAGGTTATATAGTAGCTATCTTTTATTTCGGGTACAATTTCCATATTTTGATTATTGTTCCTGAAAATAACATAATATAATATATTGTATAGAAAACACTGAGTCATCTTCACAATTTTTTGTGATCAATGAAATTAGGAGACCATATGTTTTTGACCTCAATAAAGCCATCATCGGCCAATTAAGTGTAGAGTTCTAGAAAGAATCGCCATTGCAATAGGGATAAAAAGGGTACAAATATCTCAAGTATACAGAGAAGTGCACAAAAAACAGCCAGGACTGTAACTTTTGAGTTATTCGAGATAGAGTTTTGAAAATTGGTGTGCAACTAATATACCAAATTGCTCATTTATTGACGAAACAATTTTTGTTCTATCACTTTAGGTTTTACTGGAAACGACCACGAATTTCGTAGATTCCAAGAAACGATCTCAAGAAGCGAACACAAACTTTGTCATAAATGGTGTCAGTACTGAAGATTCTCAAGTAATTTCTTCAGCATTCGCGGACTACTTTGCATCTGTTTATGAAAACAGCTCCACATATGATTTGAATAATATCTTCAACAATAGTCACAATGGAAATGATAATATTCTCTCTTTTTCTCATATAACAGTTACAGATATGGATAATGCGTTTCGTAAACTCAAGCCAAAGAAATCATCAGGACCAGATAATATACCATGTTACCTTATCAAAGCATGCAAAGAGTATCTTACATATCCACTCATGATTATTTTTCAAAACTCGTTACAATCTGGAATTTTCCCCGAGTTGCTGAAGAAAACCAAACTTACACCCATTTTTAAGAAAGGGGACAAACAAAGTATCCTCAACTATAGACCCATTGCTATTCTCAACTGTGTGGCTAAACTGTTCGAATTCATTATCTTCGAGAAAATATATTGGCATGTGAAAAACCGAATATCAGATTCACAACATGGTTTCTGCAGGAAAAAGTCAATCGAAACAAATTTAGCCTGTTTTCTCATTCAAGTAAGCGATATTGTTGAGTCGGGTGGCCAGGTTGACACTATATACACGGATTTCGCCAAAGCCTTCGATAAAGTCAACCACGATATACTTCTAAAAAAACTATATAATTATGGTTTGAGTAATATGCTTGTTACCCTACTATCAGGATATCTTGCTAACAGACCACAATTTGTCACATTTCGTGGAGCCAGCTCTAATATACTTTTGGCTAAATCTGGAGTACCACAAGGGTCAAACCTGGGCCCCCTTCTATTTCTTTTATTTATTAATGATCTTCCTCAGCAACTTTCTTCTGACTGTTTACTATACGCTGATGACTGTAAAATATTTCGAAAAATTGAACATCGCGGGGATCATGATATATTACAAAATGACTTGAATTTGCTACATGCCTGGACAGTTGAGAATAAACTATACCTGAATGTTGATAAGTGTTTCAGTATTACTTTCTGTAGGTCAAATAACTTTAATGAGTTCAACTATCTTATTGACAACAAGAGCTTAGAAAAACTCACTCATATAAAAGATTTGGGCGTTACTTTTCAAAATACTTTGAAATTTGATAAACACATAAATGATGTATCAAGAAGTGCTTCTCGAATGTTAGGTTTTCTTAAACGCGTAACTTTCGAATTTAAAAATATTAAAACCATTTCTAGTCTATATTTCTCACTCGTTCGCAGCAAATTAGAATTTGCGTCCATAATCTGGGACCCTGGAAAGCTACACCTCATAAAATGTCTTGAAACGGTTCAAAATAAATTCATATTTTTTCTACATTTCAAAAAATATCGAAGGTGTCCCGATCGTTCGTCCTACGAGCCACTTCGTAAAGAATTCAATATCCCTAAATTGGAAAACAGAAGGCTCTTACAGAAGATGATATTTGTTTACAAACTATTAACAAATATTACTGAAAGTGTAATGCTATTGTCCAAAATAAAACTACGTATCCCTAAACCCAATCTTCGACCAAAACACATTTTATTTCTTACTAGCAAATGTCCTAATCTAATTGATAATATGTGTACACTATACAACAAGTTCTCTGATAAACTAGTGTGCATTGATATTTTCACTATGAACCTTGTTTCTTTCAAAACTTCTATTCGCAATGCCATGATTGGTCTCTGAATATCTCACATTCTAAACACTCGAATATATTCGACTCAGCTTCTTTCGTCTTAAATAGGTATTAATTATTATAATTTATTACTAATTCGATAGTCTACTTCTCTACCTGTTTCAAGGCAAAAACTTAAAATTTAAATTGGTGCTCTTATTGCATGTTAGTGATAGTTTTAGTTATTAGAATGCAACTTGTGTTGTTCTTAACTTTAATTTTAATTTTAAGATTCAAGATTCATGTAATTAGGTTTCTAGGAACCTGTTTGTAATCTTCTTTAAATAAATAAATAAATAAATAAATAAATAAAACTTTTGATTTTCAAATGGGACACCCTGTATTGTATTCCATAATCGGTTAGGGATTATCAAATTGAATTCATCGATATCTGGTTTGATAGGGTTATTTCAAACGATCATGCAGATATTAGCGTTCTAAGTTTCCATATGCTCGATGAGTGTGACAGAGAAAAAGTTTTGATATTGCGAAGTCACACCCATTGCATGAGCATATGGAAACTTCGAACGCAAATATCTTTGTAATTGTTTGAAATAACCTTATCAAACCTGGTATCGTTGAATTCGTCATGATAATCCCTAACCGATTATAGAATAAAATACAGGGTGTCCCATTTGCAAATTATAAGTTGGAGTCGTTTCCGGTGCAACTGGAAGTGGTGGAAGAAAAATTGTTTCATCAATTAATGACCAATTTGGTATACTTGCTACCCACCAATTTTCAAAACCATATCTCGAATAATTCGAAAGTTACAGTCCTGTCCCTTTTTTGTGCACTTCTCTGTATATGTGGGGACAAAAAAAATATCAATTCTCTTAGCCATAGAAAAACATGTCATGAGAGCTAATTAGACCTGTTTCGATTAATCCGAAATGCCTATACATTGTGTTTCATCACTAATTGTAAATTTTTCAACTATATAATCCTAAGCTCAAAATGAGAAGGTTTAACCCAAATCACCTAGATGAAATGTGTCTCCTGTCGGTCTCCTGTTTTTTTTTTCGAAAATTTGAAAATTATTATTGCCTAGTACTTTGGAACTGATTGACGTATCATTGTAATATTTGGCGGGAAGTGTAGATACTATACAGGCTGATTCACGATGGATGGTACATTGAACGTTTCTGTAGAACGCAACGCAGGATTATTCTGAAAAGTTGGTCAGCAAAAAATTAAGCCAAACCGATCGCCCTGTAACTTTTTCATTTCTATAGTCTGATTCTGGGGAAAATTCGACCAAATCGTATATTTATGTTTCGGAATGTTAGTCTGAATTTTAATTCCTACGAAAAGCTGATGACTTGATCATTATACAGGAAAAAACCAGAGTTATACTCTTTCACTCTTAACTTCTTAACGCTCTGTGGCAAAGGTTTGTGGTTGAACTTAGCTTCATCCTTCATCATGTGTTGGATTGAAGTGTGATCCCTTCTCATAACAATGGTTTTTAATTCACGTCAATATCAACTTTCTAAGAGGAGGTACAAGTGTTCTGAGATTGCATGGATTTTTTAATTTTTTATCAACAATAATAATTCAGAACCATTCTCAAACCTTCTGCACAATCATGTTCTGGATCAAAGAGTGATCCCTTTTTTCCCTCCTCAACACATCAACCCTTGATTCACGTCAATGTCTTTTTTTTGAGAAAAGATACAAGTGTTTTAAAAAAGTATGGAATTTTTCAATGCCCTCGTCCGGCCTTCAAGAGCTGCGATTCGCCCTTCATGAAGAATGGGGAAGACCACTGAGAGAAGAAATCCGTGCAAACCTCTTTCAATCGACGAATCATGATTTACGTTTGATGTACAATCAATATTATGAGTTAAAGTTGAAGGGAGTCGAATCTATATCGTTTTGAAATCAGCATATTTCATTCGATATTTCAAACAGCCAAATATGATGGTGGAGTCGTGACGTATTAGTCCCGAACTGTAGCTATCTCTCTCTGATACCTCGTCATTCTGCAGTGTTGCAGTGTGATTGGTCAATTCAAGGACAATAGGCGTGTTGGGAATAAGACGTCGCACCAGTCACACCAATGAATTGACAAAATTTCAAATGGCGCAGGAATTGTGTGTTTTGAGGGCATATTCTAATTTATTTTTTCCATCGTTTTAACATGAATGACAAATATATCGAAGACTGGAACCTTTGGCACGATAATACACTACACTGTTTTACCACTAACCAAACCGATTTTTTAACGCCTCGACACGTGTTTCGCTAACTATGTTAGCATCTTCAGGAGAAGATTAAAACTGAATAATATATGCTTACATAGTTAGCGAAACACGTGTCGAGGCGTTAAAAAATCGGTTTGGTTAGTGGTAAAACAGTGTAGTGTATGAATGACAAAATTCAAAATTAATTCGCTGGTAGTTTTTCAGTATAGAGTTCACGATAATAATTTAAAAAATCAGTGGTCTCCCCCATTTGAGGTAAATCTTCCAAGACTGTCTGAGAAACGACTTGATCAACTCAATATGCCACGGTGGTTGAATGCTGTAATTCAACCTCCAGGAGGGCATCCCAGGCAATCAGATGACGTTTCAGTGACGTTTTTTTCAAGTCAGCAATCAGATGATGTTTCAGTGACGTCTTTTCACGTCAGTTGAATGACCAAGGTGACGTCAGGAGTTGACGTCGTACGACGTGATAAATGACGTGAATAAGTCACAGCCCAATGACGTCATATTGCTCATGTTTATTGACACAATAAATGAAGGGAAAATACAACGCACAACTTCATTATGAATACCTCATTAAATCTGATATTTCAGTGAAAAATTGTCCGTTTTCCATTTTTCACAATTTGAAGCAAATGTCAAATGTTGTGAACCCTGTATCTTGGGAGCTATTAAACCTGAAAAACTGAATTATAGCTCGAAATATCGGGAATTCTGTATACTTCAAAAAA